GACGCTTCACATGTGGGGATCTGATTGGCTGAAGGCCGCGCCTCGCAAGAGCGACTTCCGGGACAGAGGCGGGAGCTGGAAGGAACACGATTTCCTGCGCGAGGCGCAGCTGGCCCGTTTCTCCGGAGGGATGGCAGCTCCGCTTCTTCGCACGCGGTTACCCGCGGAGGCGCCAGCTTCGGCACCTATGGTGGCGACGCTGAGCGCGTCAAGGACTGGGTAAGATTCGGGTTGCTTCCGTCTGCGTGTCTGGGACTGGAGTTGGGGGAGCGGGTTTGAGCGTCTGGGACAAAGCTAAGGAGTGTGGGATAGAGCGCACGCCTTTGAGTGTGGTGGTGGCTGGGAATAGTCGTCTCAGGTTCGCGAGAGCGAGCCGGTTCCCCCTTCGGGCGTAAAGGAAATGAGCGTGAGTCTTTTCCCCCGTCCACCGCTCTGTGTCCCTCACCGAGGTCCGGGCTTGGGCATTGCCTTGTGCTGCTTTACTCTTCCCTTCTGCTGCTTCGTCTAGATTTGGGAGGGGTTTTCTGGACCACGAATTTTTCAGCCGAGTGCTGTCATTGATGACAGACCCGAAACGTAGAATACTGTTTTGAAATTTCTTTTGACGCACGTATTTAATACAGTAGTCCTTATCCTGCTTAACTTTTAAATTCTCCCAATTCCTATAAAACACTTCGGAGTTTAAGCCTCAGTTCGGAGGATGCTGTCTTTTTTTATTTTTATTTTTTCACTAACCCGTGTTTAAATAAAGCAGACCCTGTAAAACACTCAGCATAATATTCACAGTTATCCATTAAGTATTTACTATCAGTGTTAGACACTGGGGACAGGTCTGTCCAGAGATTAACAGTCTTTTTCTCAGCAGAACTTGCACTGTGTGTGTGTGAGAGAGAGACAGACAGTGAATTGGCCAATAAATATGCCACGTTTTAGATAGAAGTTCTGTAAAGAAGTACAGCAATACAACAGGGTAATGGAGAGGATGAGTACAGTAGATTTCTGGTGGGAAGGCCTCTGACATTTGGGCTTCAGCTTGAATGGAGGTAAGAATCCTTCCTTGCGTACGTCAGACAGGATTGCTTCCGATTATGTGAAGAGTAAGTGAAATGGGAACAAGACTGACAGGTTTGAAGATAGAAAGGACACTGCCTGTAGTAAAACAAGTGGTTGGAGATGAGGTCAGAGAGGTAGGCAGAGGCCAGATGTAAATCCTTATATGATTAATGTTGAATCTGGCTTCTTTTTCTAAATGCATCTGGAAGACTACTTTCACTGAGTGAAGGGATTATATTGGGGATAAATGAATTACGGGGATAATGATGATAAATAAAAGGGAGACCATTTAAGAGGCTACAGCATGCATACATGGTGTGATTGGAAAATATGGTGAATGTTTAAATATAGAAAGTGTTATTAAAGTAAAAGATACATTGCCCTGGACTTGTGACACACTCCTGTAGTCTCAGCACCCAGGAGTCTGAGGTGGGAGGATCACCATGAGTTCTAGGCCAGTCTGGGCTACATAGCAAGTGTAAGGGCAACCTGAAGTACAAAGTGAGACCCTGTCTTATAAAAAAGACACATTGCCATCAGTCCTCAAAACACTCCCCCTTGCTTTGAACACACTTATCCTACCCTTCTTGCCACTTTCTGAAGCAGTTTTGGAAAGCCTGCTTTTGTGTCTTTAGTTCTGCTGCTGTGACTGCATTTACCTTATGGTCATTTTGACTTTGGGGAAGAGGCAGAAGTTGAATGGTGTCAGATTCAGTGAATAAGGTGGATGAGGACACCATAATGTTTTTATAAACCTGCTATTTTGTTATATGGTACTCAGCAGTAGCAATCACTGTGTTGTTTTAATCACACCTCAGAAAAACGAAAGCTTTGGAATTCAGTTTCTTTTTAATGGTGATACTTTAAAAAAAAAACAAAAACATTTACCCATACATTTTTGTCCCACCTTGTAGTCTCACTGAATGATCTTGGTTCAATAAATGTTGGTTATTTTTCTGTGGTTCTGGAGATTGAACCCATGTCCCCCATGCATTCCTGGCAAGTGCTATATCGGTGACCTCCATCCCCAGCCCTGGCTGTATTATTCACTGTCATAAATGTAATAGCTTGGTAATCTTGGTTCTGTAGGATTTAATACACTTGC